TGCCAACACCATTTGTTAAAAAGTCTGTCATTTCCCCACCTAACTGATTTCATCTCTTTGTCAAAAATCAATTGCCCATAAATAGATGGGCTGATTTCTGGGTTCTCAATTCTATTCCATTGATCTATGTGTCTGTCATTGTACCAGTACCATGCTATGTCTGCAACTTTTATGGACATAGGTCCTGAGAAAAAAGCCCTATGAGGGGATTTCTCCTCCTGTCCAGCAAGCCCTCCACTTCACCTCTGCCCTTGGCCTCTGCTCTACTGCCCCCTTGACTGATGTCCTAGCACCAGGGTCCTTTAATTCCTCTTTGATCCCACACCTAAGCCCTTCAAACGACCCCAGGACTGGAAGCCCCTTTCTATCAAAGACCTCTGGTTATCAGTCCAGATCACTTCCCCATAGGCCACCTCCTAGGGCTGCCCCTAGATCTCATCCTCCTCCTCATCTTCACCACTTACAACCTCCTCTGCCCACCTCCATCTCCCCTTGCTCCCTTAGCCATCTTAGTTCCTTCATAGGCTTTGCCTTTAACCCTCAGCCAATACATAGAGACTTCTTCCTACACTTGAATCCTGAACCAGGACATGTATATGCTCACACATTCATTCACACTCTTACACACATTTCTCATACAATATCACAAGAATAAAGGTGTGTTCATTCATATATATTCTCATATTCCCACAGGGAGATCTGGTGGCCTAGAGGATAAGGAGCAAAGCTGCAAACTCAAAGACAGAAGGTTCAAATTCACCATCTCCTCCATGAGAGAAAGATGGACAATCGCCTCCCATGTGAGTCAGCTACATGTCAGCTCTGACTCAACAATATACAACAATAGCATGTTTTCACAAACATCAACACTCTTTACTCACACTCAAATCTACAATGCCTGCAATGACAAATATATTGACTAGGAATGACAGGAAATTAAACATGTTGAAGAAAAGCTTAATGAATTTAAAGACTGCCATAAAATGGATTGTATCTCTCAAAAATATGCTTTACCCAGTGTGATTAGAGGAATGCATGAAACACAATATATATCAATAAAACATAATGTATATGAATTTGTATTCAAACCAATATAAAATAAAAATAATTTTTAAAAATATGTCTTGCCTTGATTTTCAGTAATATGCAATTATGTTATGTGTTGCAAAGCCTAAATATCGATGATAGAATGAGGAAGGACAAGAGATAGTTAGGTAATGATATACTCAGAGCCCAGGATGTGATCTGAAATGTGATCTGCCGGTTGGTGCTAGATATAACACCTTTAATTCCTGAGTTGTGGCTTCCATCACCATTTTTTTAGGAGAGAGAATAGGAGAAAAGAGTGAGTAGAGCCCTCAGTACCACGAAGACAGAAGAGGCAGAAACAAGTGAGTACTTTGAACCTAGGTCCCGGCTTTAGAGAACTCCTAGAACCATCATCTGTGACACACACACATACTGAAAGAAGAGAAGAAACTTTCTTCAACTTCCAGTTGTTCCCACATCCCTGCTCACATACTCTTGTCTGGGTCCTGGGATGGAGCGGAAGGTGGGGCTGGAACAAGCAGAGGCCTCAGACCCCTGATATTTAGAAAAGTAAAGCACCATCAGAAGCTGATGTAAAGGTGGCTCAAAGCCTGACACTGGACACTTACCTCTCCAAAATGGTGTTTCTCTTCTGGGGCTCTGCTCATATGGACCTGGCCTCTCACCTCTATCCAGCTGGTGGTCATTTTCTTCAGAGTCCAACTGCTGGATGTCTTGAAAGTCTTTCACCATGATGGGCCCAGGACTGGAGCTGGACCTGTGCTGGGTTGCAATTTTAGTGGTAAATTGGGACTAAGGTTGGGGCTAAAGCTTGAGCATGGACAGTCTGATTTGAATCTGAGTTTGGAGGTGACTTGGAGGCTGAGATTTGAAATACAGCAGGCATCTGTTTCCCTCAGGAAATCACCTGAAGACTGATTGGGGTCTTGAGCCCTGTCATTGTACCCTTACAGGCCAAACCACCCATATCTTCTCATTCAGTTCTTATTGCCTCTGAACCAGGGTCTTAATAACCCCAAGTGTCTCCAGCCCCACCTGCCTCCCCAACCTTATTTACCTGCTGAAGGTGTAGAGGTCAACTCCTGGACCCCTTAGATAGCCCAGGTTCTAGGGTGAAGGGGTTAAAGCCTGGAGAACTGGAGTAGGTGGCGTTAGACAGGATAGCAGTAGGCTGGCCTGATGTAGGGCCCTGTGCCCCGTGCATGAGTGTCCTGGGGTTTCTCTCCTGTCCCTAGGACTTTGGACAGTAAACAGAAGTGGATATGAAGTTAAACTCAGGCAAAAGGTAGTGGGGGTAGGGAGTTAGATGTCTCTGCCCTTGGCTGTAGAGAAAGGGGTCTCCCATACTGTTGTAACACCCTACAAGCCAGCCAATACATCCTCACTGTTTGATTCAGGAAGAGGGTAGGTCAGGAGGTCTAGGGTACAGTCTGCTGTTTCCTTCTGCCCTTCCCCTACCCCTCCCTTGTTTCCTGCCTCGGAATTTCCCAGAATTATCGTTGTCTCCAAACACTTTGTATATTTCCATATTATAACTTCATGGCAATGAAAGAGAAAGCAACACTACAAGAAATACTAAAGGGAATTCTTCTGACTGAGAACCAACAACAGAAATAAGCCAAAATTAACGTACATGACAATATCATGCAGGAACTGGTTCAGACATAGAAATACCCAAAGTATAATAAAGAACCAACTCTAAAATCAGATTCTAATATCATATTTGACCTCTCGTGGTCTCATGGTAAGGAACTGAGCTGCCAGTCTGGAGGCACATGGGTCAAAGGTACCAGATGCTTTATGGGAGAGAGAGAGGAAATCTCCTCCCCTTCAATTCACTGTGTCTGAAAACCTGCTGGAGGATCAGCAATGAGTCCTTTCCAGCTCAAAGGCACCACCACCAATAATAATAATATCATACTTAATGCTTCAACTCTACCTCTTTATTCATTGCATAATGCTTGGGGGTCTTAAAAATTTGCAAGTGGCAATTCAAGGTATAACAATCAGTCTCTCTTGGTCAGGAGCAACAGAGGAAGGAGGAGCAGGCACAGGAGGAGGATATGGGATGTGTGGCTAAGTGGACTCCTTAACAACTGCCTTCTTTGCCATAAGATCAGAAGAACTGGATGGTGCCCGGCTACTATTACTGCACATTTTGATCAAAACTTCCGTAGAAGAATCCCAACTAAAAGAGGGAATATTCAAAACAGAATTTTAAATTATTGTGAAATCCAGACTTTCTGGAGCTATGAAAGCTGGATGAACTCCTGAAACTATTGCTCTGATATAATATTTAAATCTTAACCCTAAAACAGCTCCTGAAGTTTTCTTTAAACCTAACAGTAACACAAGTTACTAAAACTAACTAAAAATATGGCAGGATACAAGACTAATATAAATCAGTCAGACTTCCCTACACTAACAAAGAGAACATGAAAAAGGAAATAAGAAGAACAGTGTAAATTACATTAATTACCCACAAGATTAAATACTTAGAAACAAATCTAATCAAAAACACAAAAGACTTTTCTAAAGAAAATTACAAAATACTACTCAAAGAAACAAAAAGAGACCTACATAAATGGAAGAATATACCATGTTCATGGATAGGAAGGCTTAACATTGTGAAAATTATAATACTGCCAAAAACAATCTACAAGTTCAATGTAATCACAATTCAGATCCTGATACCATTCTTCAAAGAGGTGGAAAAAGCAAGAGGTCCCAGACGACCAAATGAAGAAAGACCCCAGATGAAGAAGAAAAATAAAGTGGAACGCATCACATTTCTTGATCTCAAAACCTATACACAGTACTAGTAATCAAAATAGCATGGTACTGGTACAGCAACAGATGTATATTGTTGTTGTTATGTGCCATCAAGTCATCTGTGACGCATAGTGACCCTATGTACAACAACCCTAAACCCTGCTCTATCCCGTACCAATCTTATTGTCTCTGATACACCTACAGCCATTACCCCCATTACTGAATCAATCCATCTCATCAAGGGTCTTCCTCTGCTGCCCTGTTCCCTCCACCCTCCCAAGCATGACATTCCTCTCCAAGGACTGGTCCTTCCTTGCAACATGTCAAAGTATGTCAGATGAAGCTTCAGAATCTTTGTCTCCAAGGAGCAACCTGGCTTAGCCCTCTCAAGGACAAACTTGTTCATTCTCTTAGCAGTTCATGGTATATTCAGTACTCTTCTCCAACACCACAGCTTAAAGCCATCAATTCTCCTTTTATCATTCCCAGTCATTGTCCAGCTCTCTGATGCATAACAACTAATTGCAAAGACCATGGGCTGAATCAGGAGTACCTTAGTCTCCAGACTGACATCATTGTTCTTCAGTACTTTGGAGAGGTCTTTAAAAGCAGACTTTCCCAATAAAATACATCTTTTAATTTCCTGGTTGCTGGTGTCAAGAGTGTTGATTGTGGAACCAAGCAAACTAAAGCTGTTTACAATCTCAATCTCTTCACCATCCATCATGATGCTGCCAATCAGCCCAGTAGTGAGAACCTTTGTTTTCTTGATATTGAGCTTCAATCCATATTGAAGGCACTGTTTTGTTCCCATTCCAAAGAAAGAGCAGATATATAGACCAGTGGAATAGAATAAAAAACAGTATCAATCCATCCCTCTACAGTCAGTTAATCTTCTAAAAGGAGATGAAATCCATTAAGTGGGTAAATAATAACCTTTTTCACAAATGGTGGTGGACATCAATCTGCAACTCAAGGTGGATCAAGGATATAGGGGTAAAATCAGAAACTATAAATATTATCATAGAAACAAATTTAGGATCTCTATAACAATCAACACACTTGGTACCATCAGTCAGGAAAAGAAATTTGTGGCATTAGGAAAATCTGCTGTCAAGGACCTCTCCAAAGAGCTGAAATACAATTATGTCAGTTTAAAGACTAAGGTGCACCTAAACCAAACCATAATCTTTTCAATTACTTGTTATGAAGCTGAAAGTTAAACAATGACTACAGATGACAGAAGAAGAGTTGATGCATTTGAGTTGTAGTGGTGGAAAAGAGTACTCAATATTCCAAGGACTGCCAAAAGAACAAAACACATAAGTGTTAGAGAAAGTGCAACCAGAGGCAAGGACACTAAAGCTTCGTCTCACATATTTTGGGCATGTTGTCACGAGAGGCTATTCCTTACAAAGGGACATCATAATTGGATATGTAGAGGCTCAGTGAAAGAGAGGAAGACCATCAACAATATGGATTGACACGCTAACTGCAACAATGTATTCAAGCATATTAAAAATTATGAGAATGGTACAGGATGGAGCAAGATTCAGATCCATTATTCCTGGAATTGCTATGAGTCATAGTGTAATGATAGCACATAACAACAGCAATCTACAGAATACGCAGGCTATCAAACACAGCCAAAACTGCGCTACCAGGACAACATAAGATGGATGAGTGGCACCTTCTAAAAATTAAATCCCTATGTGCATCAAAAAGGTCTCAAAAAATAAAAAGAAAGCATGCAAACTGGGGGCGGGGGGAATATTTGGTCATGATACATCTGATGAGGGGCTCATGATGTTGTTGTTGCTATGTCTTGTAGAATCAAGTACAACTCATAGCAACTCTATAACAGACTTGAGCTCTGCTCTGTCTTGTGTCATCCTCATCATTCCTGATTCACTTGAGTCCATTGCTGAAGTTGCTATGTCAGTCCATCTCGTTGGAGGGCTTCTTCTCTTTCGCTAACCCCTCACCTTTCCAAACATGCTGTTCCTTTCCAAAGAATAGCCCCTCCTAGCCACATGTACAAAGTAGGAAAGATGAAGCTTCACAATTTTTACTTCTAAGGAGGACTCTGGCTATACTTTTTCCCAAGACATATCTTTTTGTTCTCTTGTCAGTCCATGAGATTCTGTACTCTTCTCTAACACTGCAACTCAAAGACATCAATTCTTCTTCTGTTATCCTTATTCGTTGTTCAGCTCTCAAATGCATAAGTGATTGAAAAGAGCATAGCCTGGATTAGGCATATTAGTCCTCAAACTGGCATCACTGATATACTTTAGAGAGGTTCTGAAAGCAAACTTGCCCAGTGCAATATGTCTCCTGATCTCTTAACTGCTACTACCAAGGGTGTTTTTTGTTGATCTAACTGAGATTAAATCATTGGCAACTTCAATCTTTTCTCCATCTGTCATGGTATTGTCTAAAGGTCCTAAAGGTTAGGAACTTTGTTTTTCGATTTTGAGATGTATTCCATACTGAAGTCTTGATCTTCTGTAGTAAGCACTTCAAGGCCTCCTCACACTCAGCAAGCAATGTTGTGTCATCTGCCAGGCTGTGGGTTGCTGTGATGTTAAAAGTGATGCCACCAGTGTTACAAATGCCAGAAGGGTCATGCATGATGGACAAGTTGTAACAGAGCTCCTAGACTAAGACAGACTAGGAAGCATGATTGGTCATCCTCTTCCAAAATAACAGGCCTTAGAAAATCCTATGAACAACAGAGGAATGCAGGTAGCTATAGTTTTAAAGGGAGCTCATATGCAAAAATTATAGAAAACAATAACACCTCAACAAGAAAAAGTCAACTCTGTTACAAAATGGTCAGAAGAAAAGACTCTTCAATAAAGACTTTCAGCTGATTAGCAAACAAGTGAAGAATTGCTCAAGATCATTAGCTATTTTTGTTGTTATATGCCATTAAATTGGAATCAGCTCATAACTGA